AACTGTCATATATTTTAATATTTAAATTAAATATTTGATTTAAACTATATTTAATAGATTTTCGTAGATAGTGGCAATTGTGCGAAAAAAATGTTTGCATTTAAATTTAAACATATTTCAGATTTAAATGAAATATTTGTGTATTCAAATTAAATGAGAGATTCAAATTAAATGACATTCATATTCTAAATATTAAATTCATTTCCAACAAATTATATATATTTTATTTCTTTTAAATTGTCTTATATATAAGATGCCCAGATAGTCTTTAAGCCAATATTTTATGCTGATTTTCACTTGTTTTCAAAGATGGAGGGACTGCAGAATACTTTCATACATTTTTGTATTTAAATATTGTATCCCACATTTTGTTTCCATTTTCAAATCAAAAAACAAAACCAGCTCCGAAAAGCAGTCGTGCACTAAAACTTCTACAGCTTCAGAACACAAACCAAAAACATTTATTCAATACAAAACAAGTTGGTGTTGTAGAAACATCTCCAAAAAAAACAAAATAAACAACTTCAGGTGACTAAAGGTATGTCGTAAAGAAATAAAAATAGAAATTTAAAATTAAATCAAATATTCCAGATGATTAATAAATTGAGTTCAATGCTTACTGGGGGCAAGTCAAACCCCGAGCCAGCACCGGAAATGACGCTGTGGAACTACGCCGAAATGGTCGTAACTATGGCACAGGAGCACCGCACCACTCTAGAGCTGGGAGCAACTCTTCTGTTTTCGATGATGTTGCTCCTTATTTAATTAAGGTGTTTATGCCCAGGCGAGCTCAACGTGCTCCTGCTCTTCCTGCTGTGCCGGAAGTCAACCATCGACTGTTGACTGATAAGCCACCAGAGCCTCCTTCACAGATCGTAGCTCCCTATCATCGATACAACTTGAGAAGCACCGTAAAACGTCGAGCCCGTTTAATTGAACAATAGGAAAATCCAAAATTTGAATTGTAATAATATTTTTTATATGGGTACCAAGACGCGAGCGACACAGAGTGAGTTCTTTCAAGTAAAATTCTACCTGTGGAATTTACATATGTTAACTTTTTTATTTCAGTATGAATCCCAACGAGACCATTGACATGATCCCGTTCCTACGCTTGCCTGGAATCGGTAGTATCATTTTCCGTTAACTTTTGAAAGCGATTTCTAAATTGTCCGAAAAGCGTCCCATTATATTTTGGTATATACACACATTCACCTATTGAAATTAACTGTAGCTTGGATTATCACAGCATTGGATGAGGCTCATTCCTTGAAGTCCTTCAGTTGCAGTAGCTACACCCCAAACCCCACTAAAATCTGGAAATATTCAACTTCGTCAGCTGTGTCCTTTGTATCGAATCAAATTTTATTAATTAAATTTAAATTAGTTTTTACATTTAACATTTTTGAGTTTTGGTCTCATTTTTAAAATACGCAAATCGCTGAAATGGTCGTGGCTATGGCACAGGAGCACCGTACCACTCTAGAGCTGGGAGCAATTGTTCTGTTCTCGATGATGGTGCTCCTTATTTTAATTAAGGAGGCGTGGAGGCGTGGAGGATCTGATGGTTCATCAGCCATCGGTCCGTGGTTGACTTCAGGCGAAGCAGGAGGAGCGGCACCTCCACAGTCCACAGCGAAGTTTCCGGTTCTGGCTCAGGGTTTGACTTGCCCCAAGTAAACATTGCACTAATTTTATTAATCTGGAATTTTGAATTTTGATTTAGATTTAATTTTAAATTTTTATTTTTTTACGACATACCATTTTTTTTCACTTGAGGTACTTTATTTTGTGTTTTTGGGAGATGTTTCTACTTGGAGTTGTGTTGTTTGAATGAATGTTTTTGTGGTTTGTGCGCTGAAGCTGTAGAAGTTTAAGTGCACGACTGCTTTTCGGAGCTGGTTTTGTTTTTTGATTTGAAAATGGAAACGAAATGTGGGATACAATATTTAAATAAAAAAGTATGAAATGGCCAATCTTTGAAAACAAGTGAAAATAAGAATACAAAATTGGCTTAAAGACTATGAAATTGGTATTAAATAATGCTAATGCCTGTAAACGTATTTTATAAATATTTTCCCCAGTCCCAATTTATTTAATAATCCCTTCAATCCGCTTGTTAATTTCTTTCAGCGTGTGTACTACCTCTCGCTGGAGTACTACATGGGTCGCTCCCTCACCAACACCATGATCAATCTGGGCATCCAGAGCGAGTGCGAGGAGGCCATGTACCAGATTGGACTGGACATTGAGAATCTCGAGGAGATGGAGGAGGATGCCGGTCTGGGCAATGGTGGTCTTGGTCGTTTGGCCGCCTGCTTCCTCGACTCGATGGCTACTCTGGGCCTGGCCGCTTATGGCTATGGCATCCGTTATGAGTACGGTATCTTTGCCCAAAAGATCCAGAACGGTGAGCAGGTGGAGACGCCCGACGATTGGCTGCGTTATGGCAACCCATGGGAGAAGGCACGTCCCGAATTCATGCTGCCGGTTCATTTTTATGGCCGTGTGATCGATACGCCCGAGGGCAAGAAGTGGGTGGATACCCAGAAGGTGTATGCCATGCCCTATGACAATCCCATTCCCGGCTATGCCAACAATCATGTGAACACGCTGCGTCTGTGGTCGGCCAAGGCCCCAATTGACTTCAACCTGAAGTTCTGTAAGTATCAAATACTGATATTCCCTCCCACCCATACTCCTATTGAGTGATCTCTCATCTCTCGGATTACAGTCAACGATGGTGACTACATTCAGGCCGTGCTGGATCGTAATTTGGCCGAGAATATCTCGCGTGTGCTGTACCCCAACGACAACTTCTTTGAGGGCAAGGAGCTGCGTCTGAAGCAGGAGTACTTCATGTGCGCCGCCACTCTCCAGGACATCATTCGTCGCTACAAGGCCTCGAAGTTTGGTTCCCGGGAGGCGGTGCGCAACTCCTTTGATCACTTCCCCGATAAGGTGGCAGTCCAGCTGAACGATACCCATCCATCGTTGGCCATACCCGAGCTGATGCGCATCCTCATCGATGAGGAGCATCTGACCTGGGAGAAGGCATGGGATATTACCACCCGCACCTGTGCCTACACCAATCACACGGTGCTGCCCGAGGCTTTGGAGCGCTGGCCCGTGTCCCTGCTGGAGTCGATTCTGCCCCGTCATCTGCAGATCATCTATCACATTAATTTCCTGCATATGGAGAATGTGAAGAAGAAGTTCCCCACCGATCTGGATCGCATGCGTCGCATGTCGCTCGTGGAGGAGGATGGCGATAAGCGCGTCAATATGGCCCATCTGTCTTTGCCCATGCTGTCAACGGTGTGGCTGCCATTCACTCGCAGATCCTGAAGGATTCGCTCTTCCATGACTTTTACGAAATGGATCCCAGCAAGTTCCAGAACAAGACCAATGGCATCACGCCACGCCGCTGGCTGTTGCTGTGCAATCCGGGTCTGTCCGATCTGATTGCCGAGAAGATCGGTGACGAGTGGCCCGTGCATCTGGATCAGTTGGTGGCCCTGAAGAAGTGGGCCAAGGATCCCAACTTCCAGCGTAATATCGCACGCGTGAAGCAGGAGAACAAGCTGAAGCTAGCCACCTTACTGGAGGCTGACTATGGCGTAAAGATCAATCCCTCTTCGATGTTCGATATCCAGGTGAAGCGCATCCACGAGTACAAGCGCCAGCTGCTCAACTGCCTGCACATCATTACCCTGTACAATCGCATCAAGAAGGATCCCACAGCCAGTTTCACGCCGAGGACCATCATGATCGGTGGCAAGGCCGCACCCGGCTACTATGTGGCCAAGCAGATCATCAAACTGATCTGTTCCGTGGGCAATGTTGTGAACAACGATCCCATTGTCGGAGACAAGCTGAAGGTCATCTATTTGGAGAACTATCGCGTGACGCTCGCCGAGAAGATCATGCCCGCTGCGGATCTGTCCGAGCAGATCTCTACCGCCGGCACAGAGGCCTCCGGCACTGGCAACATGAAGTTCCAGCTGAACGGCGCCCTCACCATCGGCACGCTGGACGGTGCCAATGTGGAGATGGCCGAGGAGATGGGAATGGATAACATTTTCATTTTTGGCATGACCGTCGAGGGGGTGGAGGCCCTCAAGAAGAAGGGCTACAATGCCTACGACTATTACAATGCCAATGCTGAGCTCAAGCAGGTGATCGATCAGATCCAGGGCGGTTTCTTCAGCCCCGGCAATCCCAATGAGTTCAAGAACATTGCCGATATTCTGCTCAAATACGATCACTACTACTCGCTGGCCGATTTCGATGCGTACCTGAAGGCACAGGATCTGGTGTCCAAGACCTACCAGGTAAATATTCATAGCTAATAATTTGCCTGTAACTCTCTTTCTAAACTCTATTTGTCTCTCTGTGCGTGTGCAGAACCAAGCTAAATGGCTGGAGATGGCTATCCATAATATTGCGTCCAGTGGCAAATTCTCATCGGATCGTACCATCGCCGAGTATGCACGCGAGATTTGGGGCGTGGAGCCCACCTGGGAGAAGCTGCCGGCTCCCGAGGATCAGTAAAATAAATCAATTAACATTTTGCATATTATGTTAATATTGATTAACTTTACTTTTTGTTAAAGTCAAAGTCTAAAAATTTTAGGAGCCAAAAAGCAACACCAACTAAAGCTAACCCTTGGGCCGCTCAGTGCCCACAAAACCCCGAATTGTTAATATTTTATTTAATAAAAATCCAATATAAACTATTAAAAAAACGCTCTCTAATCTAAATGGAAGTAAAGCCGCTTTACTATGGAAACGAATCACAGGAGCAGCGACTGGCCCTGGCCTCAAACCAAATAAAACACCTCAGGAAAACTTTCAAAGTTAAAAAATTATTAAAGAAAATAAATAGCAAAAGAAATACCAAAACAAAGAAGTTGAATAACCCAACAAAATATAGTCGAACGCTTTCGTCTAGTAATGGGATATGCGTGTTTTAAAAATGAGATCAAAACTCAAAAATGTTAAATGTAAAAACTAATTTAAATTTAATAAAATTTGATTCGATACAAAGGACACAGCTGACCATGTTGAATATTTCCAGATTTTAGTGGGGTTTGGGGTGTAGCTACTGCAACTGAAGGACCTCAAGGAATGAGCCTCATCCAATGCTGTGATAATCCAAGCTACAGTTAATTTCAATAGGTACATATGTGTGTATATACCAAAATATAATGGGACGCTTTTCGGACAATTTAGAAATCGCTTTCAAAAGTTAACGGAAAATGATACTACCGATTCCAGGCAAGCGTAGGAACGGGATCATGTCAATGGTCTCGTTGGGATTCATGCTGAAATAATAAAGTTAGCATAAGTAAATTCCACAGGTAGAATTTTACTTGAAAGAACTCACTCTGTGTCGCTCGCGTCTTGGTACCCATATAAAAAATATTATTACAATTCAAATTTTGGGTTTTCCTATTGTTCAATTAAACGGGCTCGACGTTTTACGGTGCTTCTCAAGTTGTATCGATGGTAGGGAGCTACGATCTGTGAAGGAGGCTCTGGTGGCTTATCAGTCAACAGTCGATGGTTGACTTCCGGCACAGCAGGAAGAGCAGGAGCACGTTGAGCTCGCCTGGGCATAAACACCTTAATTAAAATAAGGAGCAACATCATCGAAAACAGAAGAGTTGCTCCCAGCTCTAGAGTGGTGCGGTGCTCCTGTGCCATAGTTACGACCATTTCGGCGTAGTTCCACAGCGTCATTTCCGGTGCTGGCTCGGGTTTTGACTTGCGCCAAGTAAACATTGACCTCAATTTCTTAGTCATCTGGAATATTTGATTTAATTTTAAATTTCTATTTTTATTTCTTTACGACATACCTTTAGTCACCTGAAGTTGTTTATTTTGTTTTTTTTTGGAGATGTTTCTACAACTCCAACTTGTTTTGTATTGAATAAATGTTTTTGGTTTGTGTTCTGAAGCTGTAGAAGTTTTAGTGCACGACTGCTTTTCGGACCTGGTTTTGTTGTTTGATTTGAAAATGGAAACGAAATGTGGGATACAATATTTAAATACAAAAATGTATGAAAGTATTCTGCAGTCCCTCCATCTTTGAAAACAAGTGAAAATCAGCATAAAATATTGGCTTAAAGACTATCTGGGCATCTTATATATAAGACAATTTAAAAGAAATAAAATATATATAATTTGTTGGAAATGAATTTAATATTTAGAATATGAATGTCATTTAATTTGAATCTCTCATTTAATTTGAATACACAAATATTTCATTTAAATCTGAAATATGTTTAAATTTAAATGCAAACATTTTTTTCGCACAATTGCCACTATCTACGAAAATCTATTAAATATAGTTTAAATCAAATATTTAATTTAAATATTAAAATATATGACAGTTCAAATTTTGGATTTTCTTATTGGGCAAACGGGCTAAACGGGGTCCGCGGGCTCCGCGGGCTCGACGTTTCTTTATGTTCTGTTGAGGAGGCTCTGATGGTTCATCGGGAGGAGCAGGAGCACGTTGAGCTTTCCTGGTCATGAACACCTTAATCAAAATAAAGATCGATAACATCACAATTGCTCCCAGTGCCATATCGTTGCGGTGCTCCTGTGCCATACCCATAGCCTGTGTCCACAGCGTCATTTCCGGTGCTGGCTCGGGTTTTGACTTGCCCCAAGTAAACATTGAACTCAATTTATTAATCATCTGGAATATTTGATTTAATTTTAAATTTCTATTTTTATTTCTTTACGACATACCTTTAGTCACCTGAAGTAGTTATTTTATTTTATTTTTTTTTGGGAGATGTTTCTACAACTCCACCTTGTCTCGATTGACTAACTGTTTTTGGCATGTGCTCTGAAGCTGTAGAAGTTTAAGTGCACGACTGCTTTTCGGAGCTGGTTTTGTTTTTTGATTTGAAAATGGAAAGGATATGTGGGATCCATGTATGTAGGTATCACTTTTTAGCCAATGTTTAAATATTCTCTAGCATATACAAATCTGGTGTCACGGTGATTGTTTGAACTCCCCCCAAACAGCTCGACCAATTTTCGATGACATATTTTGACACTCGCAGAGAAACGACAACGCCAACAACTACATCGAGAATTCACAACAGCTTCGTTCCTCCGTCTCGCATTCGAGTACGAGCCAGATTGTAAATATTACGCTCATCCGAAAGTACTGTTCCAGATGTAATATTCATTTTTCCCTCTTCCTGAATGTCTGGTTGAAGACGATGGCTGGATGATTTTCTCTTGATTAAAGACTTCTTCTGGGCTTCTTCTTCGGCGTTTCTTGGATTGTGGCTTGGTTTGCGATTCGTTGGTTTCGTTCGTTGTAGCAGATTTCGTTTCTGATGATTTTGTTGATTATTTTTGATGATTTCGTTGTTTTTTTGTTTGTTTGTTGTTGTTTGTGTTATTTTTGGCAGTAAAAGTTTGCTTTCCTTATGATTTTTAATCATCTTCCTAAAGTTGCACTTCCTCTGGCCTTAAATTTTGTCATCTTTTGTGGTCCCAATTGTGTCGTCGTCGGTGTGTTATCGACGGGCGCCTTAGAAACTTCCATTGGTCCATGGGATTTACAGATTTACAGTCTTAAATCGTAAACTACTAAAACTATTTAACAACTATACAATACAACTACATATAAAATAAGCATCAAAGTACCAAAAGTAACAATTGGACTGCCTGCAAAGAGAAGAGAAAGCTGCATTATCTTCCTCCTCATCTGTGCCAATCAGAAGATCAACTGGAATCAGGTCCCATCTTCTGGAACAACTGCAAAATCGAACACAAATAAATTCTGAGCTGAATCCTGCTGAGCGGAAACACAACTGGAAGCTGAAAGCTGGAAAATGAGTTGGAAAAAAACAAAACTAGCTCCGAAAAGCAGTCGTGCACTTAAACTTCTACAGCTTCAGAGCACAAACCAAAAACATTTATTCAATACAAAACAAGTTGGAGTTGTAGAAACATCTCCCAAAAAAAACAAAATAAACAACTTCAGGTGACTAAAGGTATGTCGTAAAGAAATAAAAATAGAAATTTAAAATTAAATCAAATATTCCAGATGATTAATAAATTGAGTTCAATGTTTACTTGGGGCAAGTCAAAACCCGAGCCAGCACCGGAAATGACGCTGTGGACACAGGCTATGGGTATGGCACAGGAGCACCGCGCCGATCTGGCACTGGGAGCATTTGTGCTTATATCGATCCTTATTTGTATTTGTATTATTTGTATTATTGCTTCTGCTCCTCCCGATGAACCATCAGAGCCTCCTCAACAGAACATAAAGAAACGTCGAGCCCGCGGAGCCCGCGGACCCCGTTTAGCCCGTTTGCCCAATAAGCAAATCCAAAATTTGAACTGTCATATATTTTAATATTTAAATTAAATATTTGATTTAAACTATATTTATTAGATTTTCGTAGATAGTGGCAATTGTGCGAAAAAAATGTTTGCATTTAAATTTAAACATATTTCAGATTTAAATGAAATATTTGTGTATTCAAATTAAATGAGAGATTCAAATTAAATGACATTCATATTCTAAATATTAAATTCATTTCCAACAAATTATATATATTTTATTTCTTTTAAATTGTCTTATATATAAGATGCCCAGATAGTCTTTAAGCCAATATTTTATGCTGATTTTCACTTGTTTTCAAAGATGGAGGGACTGCAGAATACTTTCATACATTTTTTTATTTAAATATTGTATCCCACATTTTGTTTCCATTTTCAAATCAAAAAACAAAACCAGCTCCGAAAAGCAGTCGTGCACTAAAACTTCTACAGCTTCAGAACACAAACCAAAAACATTTATTCAATACAAAACAAGTTGGAGTTGTAGAAACATCTCCCAAAAAAAACAAAATAAACAACTTCAGGTGACTAAAGGTATGTCGTAAAGAAATAAAAATAGAAATTTAAAATTAAATCAAATATTCCAGATGATTAATAAATTGAGTTCAATGCTTACTGGGGGCAAGTCAAACCCCGAGCCAGCACCGGAAATGACGCTGTGGAACTACGCCGAAATGGTCGTAACTATGGCACAGGAGCACCGCACCACTCTAGAGCTGGGAGCAACTCTTCTGTTTTCGATGATGTTGCTCCTTATTTTAATTAAGGTGTTTATGCCCAGGCGAGCTCAACGTGCTCCTGCTCTTCCTGCTGTGCCGGAAGTCAACCATCGACTGTTGACTGATAAGCCACCAGAGCCTCCTTCACAGATCGTAGCTCCCTACCATCGATACAACTTGAGAAGCACCGTAAAACGTCGAGCCCGTTTAATTGAACAATAGGAAAATCCAAAATTTGAATTGTAATAATATTTTTTATATGGGTACCAAGACGCGAGCGACACAGAGTGAGTTCTTTCAAGTAAAATTCTACCTGTGGAATTTACATATGTTAACTTTTTTATTTCAGTATGAATCCCAACGAGACCATTGACATGATCCCGTTCCTACGCTTGCCTGGAATCGGTAGTATCATTTTCCGTTAACTTTTGAAAGCGATTTCTAAATTGTCCGAAAAGCGTCCCATTATATTTTGGTATATACACACATATTCACCTATTGAAATTAACTGTAGCTTGGATTATCACAGCATTGGATGAGGCTCATTCCTTGAAGTCCTTCAGTTGCAGTAGCTACACCCCAAACCCCACTAAAATCTGGAAATATTCAACATGGTCAGCTGTGTCCTTTGTATCGAATCAAATTTTATTAATTAAATTTAAATTAGTTTTTACATTTAACATTTTTGAGTTTTGGTCTCATTTTTAAAATACGCAAATCGCTGAAATGGTCGTGGCTATGGCACAGGAGCACCGTACCACTCTAGAGCTGGGAGCAATTGTTCTGTTCTCGATGATGGTGCTCCTTATTTAATTAAGGAGGCGTGGAGGCGTGGAGGATCTGATGGTTCATCAGCCATCGGTCCGTGGTTGACTTCAGGCGAAGCAGGAGGAGCGGCACCTCCACAGTCCACAGCGAAGTTTCCGGTTCTGGCTCAGGGTTTGACTTGCCCCAAGTAAACATTGCACTAATTTTATTAATCTGGAATTTTGAATTTTGATTTAGATTTAATTTTAAATTTTTATTTTTTTACGACATACCATTTTTTTCACTTGAGGTACTTTATTTTGTGTTTTTGGGAGATGTTTCTACTTGGAGTTGTGTTGTTTGAATGAATGTTTTTTGGTTTGTGCTCTGAAGCTGTAGAAGTTTAAGTGCACGACTGCTTTTCGGAGCTGGTTTTGTTTTTTGATTTGAAAATGGAAACGAAATGTGGGATACAATATTTAAATAAAAAAATGTATGAAAGTAATTTGCAGTTCCTCAATCTTTGAAAACAAGTGAAAATAAGAATACAAAATTGGCTTAAAGACTATGAAATTGGTATTAAATAATGCTAATGCCTGTAAACGTATTTTATAAATATTTTCCCCAGTCCCAATTTATTTAATAATAATCCCTTCAATCCGCTTGTTAATTTCTTTCAGCGTGTGTACTACCTCTCGCTGGAGTACTACATGGGTCGCTCCCTCACCAACACCATGATCAATCTGGGCATCCAGAGCGAGTGCGAGGAGGCCATGTACCAGATTGGACTGGACATTGAGAATCTCGAGGAGATGGAGGAGGATGCCGGTCTGGGCAATGGTGGTCTTGGTCGTTTGGCCGCCTGCTTCCTCGACTCGATGGCTACTCTGGGCCTGGCCGCTTATGGCTATGGCATCCGTTATGAGTACGGTATCTTTGCCCAAAAGATCCAGAACGGTGAGCAGGTGGAGACGCCCGACGATTGGCTGCGTTATGGCAACCCATGGGAGAAGGCACGTCCCGAATTCATGCTGCCGGTTCATTTTTATGGCCGTGTGATCGATACGCCCGAGGGCAAGAAGTGGGTGGATACCCAGAAGGTGTATGCCATGCC